TAAAATTTTAGGTACAAATTGATATTATTTTTGGGCCTTAAATTAATAACCGCGCTAAAGCCAACTTTCATCCCTCTACTTTGTGAAAAACTTCAATTTAATCATTCTACTATGGAATCACCTCAAGTCGTCCCTCTATGTCATTTTGAGCTCACATGTCCTCCTTCTACCATTCAAAAAGTGATCAATTTCGTCCCTCCATCCATTCCATGGCTAACATCGTCACTTTTAACTGTTAAAGTCTAATGGCTTAGCATTTAATATATATTTTTATATTATTATTTTCTCCACTTTGGCTATAATATAGCACCCACCAATACCACATCATACTCCATATTAACATCTTTCTCCTCAATTTAACTTTTTTTTTTCTTCAAAACACAGATTCCTCATATTTTTGTGTATAGGATAATTTATATTTTTACCTTTATTATTTTAAAAATAATTTTTTCAATTGTCTTAATGGCACATTTTTGTTATAAATATATATATATACACAAAAATGTGAAAACTAACATTAATTTTAGTATTAATGCCAAATGAATAAATTTAATTAGACAATTGATAAATTAAAGGTCAACTTTTATTTTTTTTTGTACAAATTAATGACAAAAAGGTATATTTATTACTTTTTAGGGCATAGGTTAATTAAAAAAAACTCTTCTAAAAAAATAAAATTTTTTTATGATAAGATAAATAACTAAATCAAGAAAAAATAATAAGATTAAACTATAAAAAATATACTATTATTTTAAGACAAATTCAAAAAATATTTGTCTACTAAAATTAATAAATAAAAAATTGACATATATAAAACAAAGCATGAAATCCTTAATTAGTACCTTTTGTGTTTGTATTCCAACTTAATTATGTACTTTATTATAAGTATAAAATCATATACTTTTTTATGTCTATGTATTATTTTTTTGATATTTATAATCAAGGTGTTTCCAAATCAACTTTTTTGCATCTTGAGACTAATCCTTATCTAGACTATTTTAAGGACATACTTCTCATATCAAACTATTGCATTCAATAAAATTTATGTTTATATGTTGTGTCTAAATTATGGAAAATGATGTGTGCACATCCGGATTCAACACCCAGGTGTGCACACTCCGCATAAAAAAAAAATGGAGAACACCCGGTCT